CCACACACACACACAAAAGATATAAAGGTTAAAAAAAGTAAAAAAAAAAAAAAAAAAAAAAAAAGATAAAATGAAGGGAAAAAAGTAGACTGAGATTTAAAAAACAAAAACTCAGTGGCTGTTATTCACAAGTAATCACATTCATTCTTACAAAATGTCCATGGTATGGTAAAAGCAAGTTTTCATAGAAGCAGAGTACAAAAAAAAGCAAATAAAATTGATGCTAGGTTCCTAGAAAACAAGTCATTTGATTTTTAAAATAAACAATAATATTGTAAATAGAATTATACTGTGTTGCCAGTGGGCATTATTTAGTATTAAATGTATTGAAAGTTTTTATTGCTTTACACCTTTATTTGTGGCTGACCCATCTTTGATCTTTTGCTTCAGTGACTGCAGCACATTTTGCACTTGTTCAAATATGAAGTCTATTTTTCCATCGTCTTCCAGCTCCATCCAGAAAGTTTTTGCATCACCTAAAATAGAAATAAGTAAATTGCCAAAGAGTTTAATAGAAATAGACTGTAATTTCCCTAAGGCACATATTACAGAAAAATCTACCTGGTTTCTAAATAAAATCAAGATTCAATTGGTCTCTCACTTTCCTTGGGAAAAAAGATTTTGATCATGTCTCCTTATAAAGAGCTAGAAACAATATGATCTAAGTATCTCACCTATTTCTGCTAACTTAAAAAATTCATTGAAAACTTTAGTGACATTATTTCTAGAAAACAGAAGAAATGACTTCACTCTAGAGTGGTAGTAGGGCATACATATAGATATACATGCATTTCTAAAGTTTCAGGGATATAATCTCCACTGAGTATAGAAAAAGATGGTTTCAGAATGAAACATCTGAATGATTGCTGAAACTACTAAATGTTCAACAGTATTGCTTTTCAAAAAGCCTTTTACATTAACTTCAATTTCATGAAACAAAATGTTTAAAGATTTTACAGATAAAGTTATATAAATGAGCCAACATTTTCTGATTCCCAGACAGCTAACACCTTAATCAAAATTCTCTTTGAGCTGTCTGGTTAGCACAGTTGATTAGAGCATGGTACTGGTAACACCAAGGTCTAGAATTCTATCCCTGTGCTGGTCAGCTGCCAAAAAAAAACAAAAAAAAAAATCTTTGAGAAATAATCCTTTCAAAGTTGGAAACCGAATACGAGAAAGGCAATTAAAATAAATTGGCAAAAGCCAAATATCATACTTACTTCATGTTTAAAAACAAAGATACCGGGGCCGGCCCGGTGGCGCACTGGATAAGTGCGCCGCTTGGAAAGCGCGGTGGCGCTCCCGTCCGAGGGTTCGGATCCCACATACAGACCGGTTCCCGCTCACTGGCTGAGCGAGGCGCGGGAGCAGCACCGAGGGTTGCAATCCTGTTGCCGGTCCCCGGTCCGGTACGGGGGCAACACTGAGGGTTGCGATCCGTTGCCGGACACGGAAAAAGATAAAAGACAAAAAAAACAAAAACAAAAAAAAAAAACAAAGATACCTAAAATGTTAAGCACAATTTGTAAAACGTTAAAATTAATGTATAAAATTATTTGAAGTTAATAGGGCCTTAAGCTAAGGAGGGACATCATAATTGCATTTTAGAAAGGTCACTTGGGTAGTCATTGAAAGTATTAATGAGCAGAATGCACAGATAATTTTTAAAAAATAAATTTTCGGGCCGAGCCCGTGGCGCACTTAGGAGAGTGCGGCGCTGGGAGCGCAGCAGCATTCCCGCTGCGGGTTCGGATCCTATATAGGGATGACCAGTGCGCTCAAAGCGCTCACTGGCTGAGCGCGGTGTGGCCGGTCTCAAAAAGGACAAAAATAAATAAATAAATAAATAAATAAATTTTCCTTAATAAAAATTAAACCCAGAACCTCTGAGTTTAGCAATGGAAAGAGCATCTTCAAAGGAAAGAGGCTTAGACCTCAGAGTCCCAACTCCTGGTGGAAAGTCACTTTACTCAAAGAGGATCTCTGGCTAATGAGAGCTGCTGCTACCACAGTGGACTTGAGAGGGGTGATATTTCCCTGTCAACACTCTGGCCCAACGTGTAGTACATAAGACTCAGCCTACTTTTAATTCCGCATAGCACAGCTCAGGCAAGGTTTCAAGATTTGAAACAAACATAATGTGAGAAGACAAAATGGATGAGAAATAGTACTCAAGAGGCAGGTAGGGGCCATGACATGGAGGGCCTTGTGTGCCATGCTAAGCAACTTTACTTTTATATAGAAGGCTACTCAAGAGGTGCAAGCATCTTATGATGTTATTGGATATGTCTCTCAGAAAAATCACCCAGGTGGCAGTGAGAGAAGTCAGGAATGATTTCCACTTTTCTGCCTGAGGCAACCATATGGACAATAATGCTGTTCACTGAGGTAGAGAAAAAAGTTAGAGGGACAGTGAGAAATTTAAGTAGGGAGAGTCAAATTGTGCAAATTGTATACACAAGCTTTAGAGTAAAATCTAGTTCAGAAACACAAATTTGGGAGTCAAATAGCATACAAAAGCTTGCTAAAGCCAGAGAAGATATGATTCCTTAGGGAGACCATATAGACTAAAAAGAAAGAGTCTTCTGTAGAACATCAACATATAAGGGATGAATATAAGGAAAAGGAATGACGAAGACCAAGAAGGTGAAAAGGAAACCTAAGAGGGTAATATCTCAATTGTCAAGGGAAGAAAAGGAGTGGTGACTAACAATCTAGGTTTTAGAGTTCAGATATATTTGGGTTTGAATTCCAGTACTGCCACTTAGTAGCCATGTGACTACATCTGTTAAATGGCAATAAGGGTAGCATCTACCTAATATAGCTTATGTGCAGACAAGCATGTGGTAGTTAGTAAGAAATTACCATATATAATTTAATGGGGAATATAATCTTAAGCAAAAGGAATTAATCTTTAATTGTGTAATTTTAGAGATCATCCAGCTTAGTGGGGAAAATATTTCGTGAAGCAGAGCTTTCCCAGGGTCCCTAAAATCATTAGGTTTGTCACAGGTAGATAACCAACAAAAATACCACTTTTAGGCAAAACTACTTTTCAAATGACTTAATGGATTATTGTTACCATGTTTCTTTTCATGGATATGAGTCCACATGCCATACAAGGATTTATCTTTATTAGAGGTGGACATCTAGATGGGAACGATTTTGAAAGCATTTTAAAATAGCCTCTGGTACCATTAAAATATAACTCTGTCCTGGCCTGAGAAAAGCAGTAGTGATGCTGGAAGACAGCAACAGGACACAACTGAATTTTGTTTCTCAGTGACTATCATCTAAAACTGTCTTAGAAATGCCAATACATGTTACTAAATTATTCCGATAGGAAATACTTAAATTATTTAAAAAGTAAACAGAGTAAATACTTAGTCTTGAAACTGATTAATATAGACAACACTAGCAATACAATTTAAGAATATAAAGCCAATCAAAGAAAATACTGAATCTATCTGCTTTTTAAATAAATGACTGTAACTATGCAATTCATACTTATTTGTTCTAGGTTTTAAATAAATATATTGTTCCTTATCACATCTTTATTATCTCACACTGCTAGTTTTAATTTTCATTAAACTGGCACTTGTTCCTTATGTCTTTCCTCTTGATTATTTTTGTCTTCTTGCTATGAAAACCTTTAACCACAGTAATATTAAACAAGAAAAGAGGTAACCAACTTTCTGATAAATCCAGTTAACAACTTCTGTGCACAGAGACTAAATTGAGTATCATGGGAAGAAACATCTGGATGACTTTCATTTCAACTGCAGACTGAATAGATGGTTACTACAATGTTGACAATTTTCGTTTCTTGCTCCTGATCTTTATTTATTTGCACATTATGTGCATGCTCAGAGTTATAATCTAAAACTGTAAATATTTCAGTATATTTCACTAGAAGATATTTACAAGGAATAAAAGCAGGTACCTGAAGATCAACTCAGTATACTAATATTGCTGCTACTTGCCTATAAAAATGAAGAATACCATCTGATAACTGTATTGCCTGTTCAAATTTGCTCTTTTATTTAGCTAGATAGGACTATTTATTGTCAGACCATAATCATGAAGAAGTATAGTAGCTTTGTAAAGAAGGAAGCCAATTAAGTTGTGTATCTATATTATATGTCTCCCAATCTCATTTGAGGTAGACAGTCTTTGTAAACAGGCAATGCTCATGTATCATACTAATCTGAATTCATTTACTAGATGAATATTTACGGAATCCCTACCAAATACACTGATAATGACCTAGGTGCACAAAAACATATACAGAGAGGAGCTTCAGGCATCTCTGAGCCTGTGATTGGCAAAATGTGGTCTATGAACTCTTGGGAGTCCCCAAATTTTTTCAGAGATTACACAACATCAAACAATTTTGAAAATAATACGAAGACATTTGCCTTTTTTATGGTATTGACATTAACTGACAGTACAAAGGCTCTGGTGAGTAAAACTGCTGGTGTCTTAGCATGAATCAAGGCAATGGCACCAAACTATCAGTAAGTCAATGATCTTCATTGCCAATTTCACTTAAGAATATCTTTGATGAAGCAACATAAATGATTATAATCATTTCCATAGCCATTACAGCACAATGGCTGTCTTAAGAAAAAATCACTAGTAGGGTTCTTTGCCTTGCAAGCTAAACTAGCTGCCTTTTTTTTCCCCCTATGGTAAACCATTTTTACTTAAAAGAACCACTGCAGCTGGCCAGTTAGCTCTCTCAGGATAGGGTGGTGTTGATAACACCAAGGTGAAAGGTTCAAATCCCAGTACTAGCCAGCTGCCCCTGCCTACCAAATAACAGTAATAATTGGGGTTTGCTGGTTAGCTGAGCTGGTTAGAGCACAGCCTTATAATTCCAAGGTCATGGGTTTGTATCTCCATACTAGCCAGCCACACACACACACACGCACGCACGCACGCGCGCGCGCACTGATAAAACTATGATTTTTCAGATTTGGGTCTCTGGAACACATTTTCTTAAAAATGAACAAAGTGAGCCCAAGGGCAAAACTGACCATATTTTTTGCTAACAATAAAATTGAAGCTATCAGGTGAAAACTAAAATTTTGGAAACATTGCACCTGCCATGGCAAGCCTGAAAGTTTCTCAATAATTAACCTTTTTAATGAGATCAATAGCAATATTAACAAATGTAGTTTTTTAATATCATATATTGAAATGTATCAACATTTGGAATATCTTCAAAATTCACTGACCAATATTTTACAAGTGGCTACTACATGATGTTGTAAAATAACACATGAATGTCTTGTCCCACTCAAAGTGCAAGACAGACCAATGGATTTTAATGTAACAGAGTATTAAAAACACTCATTGATTGGAGTTCAGATTCCACACTCAATTAACCTTTAAAGAGTGCCTACTTGAATTTTGGAGTCCTAACAAAAAAAATATCCACAATTATAGTATAGTATATGAAGAGCTATTAAAATACTTTTCCCTCTTCGAACTTCCTGTCTGTGTGAAGCTTCACTGCTTTTATACATTTCAACCAAAGCAACATATCACAGCAGACTGAATGCAGAAGCAGATATTAGAATCTCTCTTCTATTTAGCCAGATATCAAGATATGTGTAACAATGTAAAATAATGTTATCCTTCTCACTAATATTTCTGCTTTAGAAAATAGTTACTTTTAACATTTCTAATCCTTTGAATTTATTTTCTTAAAAATGAGCCAATTAATACTTTTGAAACTTCTGTTTCAATTCTGAATACAGTAAGTATGAACAGATATAACCCTCATAAACAAAAGGTCTTTGGGGTTTTATATACTCTATATAAAGTAGTCCTGAGATCAAAAAATGATTGAGAACCATTGACCTAGATGAGTAAAAATCAGTACTATAATCTGTTTAATAACACATATATTACAAGTAGGTTAAAGGGCAGTGGAACTATTCTGTATGATACTGCAACAGTAGATTCATGACATCATGCATTTGTCAACACACACAGAGATTTAAAGAACAGAGTGAACCTTAATGTATGCAAATTTCAAAAATCACTTAGAAAGTCAAAGACCCCAGTATAGAATGCAGACTGTGAAGAGAATCTAATTCTATAACAAATGTATAAACAACCTCACTAAAGGGCTGGATTGAAAGGGTGCTGACTGAAGTAACTCTGGAAATGAGTGAATCTGTAAGATTATAAACAAAAGGAACTGCACATATGTACTGTATTCTAATGGATAAATTATTTTCCCACCTGGGAATGGGTTTACAATTGTGATATACATACGCATATACATACACACAGGAATTGAACAATTAAGCAAACAGATGATGGGTGTTGGCAATCAAGTTTCTCACTACTGGAGTGGGAGTTCACAAATAAGGAAGGACAGGAGATTAGAATGATCCATGTGGTAATGAATTATTTTATTTTATTTTTTCCTTTTTGTCTTTTTTCGTGACCGGCAACGGATCGCAACCCTCAGTGTCGCGCCCGTAAGGGACCGGGACTGGCAACGGGATCGCAACTCTCGGTGCTGCGCCCACACCTCGCTCAGCCAGTGAGCGGCCGGTCTGTATGTGGGATCCGAACCCTTGGCGGGAGCGCCACCGCGCTCCCAAGCGACGCACTGTAGCAGTGCGCCACCGGGCCGGCCCTTTGTGGTAATGAATTAGAGTTGAAAACATCAGCATAAATTCATATTTAGCTTAATATAGATACAGATGATTACATATAGAAATATTTATAGATACGTGTATATGTACATGTCAGAATATACATATATTTCCTTGTTCTATCAGCCGAGAGGGACTATAAGCAAGGACACCCCAGTAACAACAAGCCTATCACCCAGACCTTGGTTTCTAATACCATTCTCTCCCATAAAAGGAACCAGACCTCATTCAAGAAATGACTGATTCTAGGGCTGGGGCAAGAAATACACAAGATGAGCCTGGAGACTCTTCTAGTGCTATAAATCAGAAACAAATAACAAACACCTATGCTGATGAAGGTGTGTAAAAAGGACACTGAAGCCAACTGAAAGAGCTCCCAATGGTCAAATCTGGGACAATTCAGGCAATAAAATAAAGTACAAACTGATTATAATCCAAAGTATAAAATAAGTATCTATGAGTCCGTATTGATATAAATAATTGAATAAATAAATGGGGAAGAAGAGAGAAATCTCCCTTGCAGAAAAATTCCAAATAATTTGTGTAGATATTCTGCTGTCAAGGAGGGGGATCATAAATCCCCAATCTTTAACGTGTGGGCGACATGTAGTAATTTACTTCTATAAACAGTAGGAAATGGGAGGGAAAAAAAAAAAAGAAAACTTCATGGTGGAAAAAACTGATAAAACTACCTACTAACATCAGCCAGATGATTAAGCTCGGTATCAACAATGAGAAATCATGGTGATAGCATGTACCCTTGATATGAAAATGGCACTTTAACTCTGTGATCTTATCTCCCTAAAACCCATAAACCCAATCTAATCATGAAAAAAACATCAGACAATAACTCCAATTCTGGGGCATTTTACAAAATACTTGGATACAAATCCCAAAATATCAAAACCAAGAAAAGTCTGAGACAATTCCACAGCCAAGGGTAGCCTAAGGAGACATGACAAGGAAATGTACTATATCCTGGATGGGACCCTGGAATGAAAAAAGACATCAGGTAAAAATTAAGGAAATCTAAATAAACTATGGACTTTAGTTACTAGTAGCGTGTCAATATTGGTTCATTAATTGTAACAAATGTTTGCTGGCCGGTTAGCTCAGGGTTAGAGTACAACACTGAGGTCAATGGTTTGGATCCTCTTACTGGCCAACTGCCAAAAAGAAAGAGAAAATTTGTGACAAATGTAAGATGTTAATCATAGGTAAATCTGGGTGCTAGGTATACAGAACTCTGTACTATCCTCTCAATTTTTCTGTTAATGTGAAAGTTTCCTAAAAAATAAAGTCTATTTTAAAAATCACATTAAAGTACTAAGTTAGGACTACTGATTCAGAATTAATTATAAAGACAGTCAAAATTGGCTACATGAAAATAATTCCTTATTTCCTGCTAATTCAGAAGAGTCACTTGCAATGAAAAACCTTGAAAAATTCCACAATTCAGCTTAAGTTGTCTATATACTATTAAATATAAAGTTTAACAATGTGTGCTTCAACCTACCATTTTTTTCTCCCATCTTTCGTTGTTGTTTATAAATATAAAACTTCAAAATTAGATTTACAGAAGGACTAAATGATATGAATCACTTTGATTGGAGAATATAATTGTAATCCAACTGTGGTCTCTATGAAAGTTGCAGTCCTCAGACAAAATACATCATTATACCATTCTAAATCCAATATTCTTTGATACTTGAATTTTCATATGGAAACTGTGGCTGAAGAAAATATCAGAAATGACCAATAGTCCAACCAAAAGACAAGTCCATGCATCTTCACCAAGTGAATATTTATAGTTGTATCAGATCATTGACAGTATCTTTAAAAATAAAAACCAACTCCATCTTTTGTTCCACAACTGCATGAAACATTCTGTAAAGAAAATAAAGAATGGTGCATATTTGTAAAGGACAAAATATAAAAGGTAAAAAGATACTGTTATAACAATAGCTCTATCTTTTAAAATGTCATGACCCATAACAAAAATAATACACATTAACTGGAAAAATGTGTAAAATATCAGATTTCTTGGAATACTGCAGAGAAGAATCAGCTATAATCCTTACACCCATATTTAACATATTTGTTAATTTACATTTATTTATTTATTTATTTTTTTGTGACCGGTAAGGGGATCACAACGCTTGGCTTGTTGTCGCCCGCACCGCGCTCAGCCAGTGAGCACACCGGCCATCCCTACATAGGATCCGAACCCGCGGCAGGAGTGCCACTGCGCTCCCGAGTGCGCCACGGGCTGGCCCTGTTAATTTACATTTACATTACATTGTTAGTTAACAATTAGACTATCCCTATTTTTCTTACTTTGGATTTTAGTGCATATAATATTTTATAATCTTTCATTAATAACATATCCTGCACTTACCCCATCATTAACTTTTTTTTATAATTCAACTAAGTGGCTGTATAATGTACTTTGGTCAATAATCCATACATTAAAGTATATTAAAGATTTTAATGATTAACTTTTAATAAATTATTAGTAAATAGTATGAATAAGCCTCTGTGTTGGACATTTCGATTGTTTTTATTTTTTTAGATTGTTATTATTTTTCAGTATATAATAAATAATGTTGGAATAAATATACTTTATGCATATTTCCAATTATTCCGTTAGGACATACACCTAGAGGTGGAACTAATAGGTCAAAAACAGATCAACAATTTTCATTATCAAGATGTTATTCAACATTTGGTAAAATCTTGTGCCACTTCCACACCAAACCCACAGAAATGCTAGAAGTCCTTTTAAAAATCTATAGTCATGCTGAAAACAAAAAAAAAAACAGAACTCTCTAAGGACCAAGTCTGTGAGGCCTCTCTGGGGAAAGGTAACAGATGGGAAGCTGCATAGATAAAGCCAACCATAATCACAACAGCAGAAGGATGGGCAGGAATCCTCTCACAGGAGGTAACTGCACAACTGAGAGTCCTCAACCATGTGAAGAAGGCTACACCATGAAAGAGACTTAAGAAGCCCACCAAATTCATGGACTTGTATTCAAGAGGAGAATTAACAGAGCATCCAGAAAATAACTTTAAAACAAATGTTATTGTATTTAATATCCTCAAAGAGCTAAAGAAGGAAACCTCATCCATATAAGGATGAATATGGAAGGAAAGAAGGAAAACATAAGGAAGGAAAGAAAAGAAAGTATAAGGAAAGAAATAACATATAATTTTGAAAAATAATTAGATACCTTGGACATAAAAGTTGTTGAAATAAACTCAATAGATGACAATAATAGAACAAACTCACACAAAGTGAGTTTGTAACCTAGAAAACTAAGTTGAATAATTCACCAAGAACACAGAGCAAAGAAACAATAGGAAGGATATATGGAGAGAATGGAGATGAGGTAACAACGATCAAGAATTTCTCAAAAGTGGGAAACATATAAGCCAAGCCCACTGAGTCCACTGGGTGCCAAGCAGATAAAATTCTTAATACACACCACTAGACATACTGTGATAAACTGCAGAGTATAAAAAATACAGTCTTCAGAGCTTCCAAGAAATCTAGGTCATTTAAAAGGAAAGCATATCAAACTAGTAATGAGACTTCTCACCAGAAATGCCAGATGCAAAATGTTAAAAGAAAATAAGTATGAATCCAGAATTCTATATCCAGCCAAGCTAACTTCAATATTGAGTGTGAAAAAAAAGAGGTTTTAACACATATTAAAAAGCCACTCAGAGACTCTCTGAAAGAAGGAAATATTTCATGAAGAAAAATGAAACTAGAAGTACTGAGGTACAAGAAGGAACAATAAGCAAGTAAATGAGTAAAACACATCAATGCTAAATAAATATAGATTAAAGAGAATTTAAATAACAAATGAAACAAAAATGCTATAAAATATCACCATGAGAGATTATGTTAGTTTTTTGAAGGGAGGATTAAAGATCAGAGAAAAGTAGAAGCATGCTAAATTCTTCATAGGGAGGATATCAACACTGATTAAATTTAGACTTTGTCAGGAAGATATAAATCTAAGAACTATGTTGAAAATGAAAAGGCAATCTACTGAAACAAACAGAACAATGAAAACTTGGGCCTAAACTCAATTAAAAAGAGAAAGAGGAAAATAAGATATAAAAGATACAAAGAGAAACATGGTAAATAAGATGACAGAATAAGGCCAAATACATTAATCACAATAAAGGTGAATTTGTTAATCCTACCAACTAAAGGACACACTCTCCGGCTGACAGGTTAGCTCAGGTGGTTAGAGTGCAGTGTTGATAACACCAAAGTCAAGAGTTTGGATCCCTGTACAAACCAGTCACCAAAAAAATATAAAAATAAATAAATAAATAAAGGACAGACTTTCAGACTGGATTACAAGCAAAGCTAGCTATATTTTTAAATAAGAGACCCACCTAAATCACATAAAATATCACAGAAAGGTTGGAAATGAAGGGATGTGAAAAAAGACCCACCAGCAAATACAAGAAGCAGCATTATATGAAAGCCAATAAAGACAAAGAAAAATATTTTATACCAGCAGAACTCACCATGAAGATTTAATATTCATAAACTTTTATGAACAAATAATATCATCTTGAAATATGCAAAGCAAAACTTAAAGAAATATAAGGAAAATACACAAATCCAAAATTTTGGTGGGAAAGTAACAAACCTTTCTCAGAAACTGACAAAGTAGGCCAAAAAATGTGGTTATAAAGGATTTAAATGACAGATAAATTAATATGCTTGATCTAACAAAGGTATAGAACTCGGCACCCAATAGAAAATACTTTTGGCAGGGAGGGGAGAAACAGGCATGAAATTTATAAAAATTGACTGTGTACTAGACCAAAAGGAATTCTCAAATTCCAAAGGAATGTTATGAATAATTATACAAAGAAATAAAAACAATAAAGATCTTACCAGAGGTGCATGCCACAAATCTTCACCCCTCACTCCCAGTATACCAGGGTCCTTAAAGTTTTATAGATGATCTGTACAAAACTTTCATGGAATGAATAATTTTTATCATATACAAACTTACAGAGCAGGAAAAATACAGGAAGCTACTCACCTTTTTATGAGATTAGGAAAACCTCGACAAGCAAGAAAAAAACTCAAGGTCAAAATCACTTCTGGGAATGGATGAAAAAATACTAAATAAAGGAATCCAGCAGTACAGTAAGAGTTTACTACCAAAGTAGGATTTATCCCAGGAATACTCAAAGTTTAACATGGAAAGTTTATCAATGTGAATTCCTCTATTAACAGATGAATGGAGGAAAATTATCATCTCAGATGCAGAAAAACAAAACGAAGCAATTCAATAAATATTAATAACTATTCCGGAGGGGCCTTAGCAAACTAGGAATAAAAGAGACCTTCCTTAATCTGATAAAGAATATCTGTCCAAACCTGGCAGCAAACCTCATACTCAATGAAAAAACATTAGAAACATTTTCATTAGTCAGGAACAGGATTGAGGACACTTGCCATCACTGCTCTGACTCCATATTGTGCTGGAATTCTTAAAGAAATGAAATGTAAGATAAAAAGAGGCCTAAAGATTGAAAAAAGAGAAAAATCTATGACTAGAACAAATAAATAAAAACTAACAAAAAGTAAAGTCAAAGCCAAGCAAGGAGTCGAGAAAAAACATCAATAACAAAAAGGGGACATAATTAACCATACAAACTGAAGAGATTTTAAAAATTATACAGGATATATAGCATCCAGGACACATAAAGAACTCCTTAAGTCATTAAGAAAATGATGACCCAGAAGAAAAATAGGTAGTTTTCTTAACAGAAATTTTAGAAATGTATATAAATAATAGGTTAATAAACATATAAATAGACACCCCAAGCTTAAATCAGAGAATAAAAATTAAATTAAAAAGTTAGTATCATCTTCAGCCATAAGATGAGCAAAAATTAAGATATCATGTGTTGGTCTAGACTAAAGGGAAACCGAATTCTCATAGACTAGGCATGGGATGTGTAAATTAGTAGAGGTACTTTGGAGACAAATTTGGCATGACCTATTAAAATTTAAAATGTTCATAACTTAAAACCAAGCAATTCCACTTTTAGGTATATATCCTTGAGAAATAGCACAACAGCTCAAGAAAACACAAAGATTTTCCTTGCAGCATTGTTTGTAAGGTGAAAAATGGGAAACAACCTAATGTCCATCAAGAGAATGGCAAAAAAAAAAATGTTCTATATATAGCACATATCAAACAAAAACAGAATTTAATATGAAAATCGGTAAGAGACAAAGAGAAATATTTTACATTAACAGAACAATTCAGTCATACACTGGAACACTATGCAGCAGGTAAAAGGTACCCATAAATAACATAATGAGCTATAAATAACATGCATCAAAAACATTGCCAAGTAAAGAAATAAAATTACAGAATGATATGGTATACTATTGCTATTTTTAAAAGTACATATGCACATGTGCAACTATAGAGAATATGTAAGTATAAGTATAAAAAAGGACTTGAAGGCTCTGCACCAACATGAGGAGGCAAACAAGGATTCTGGATTGTGCTCTTTATCAGTAAGGTTCTAATTTTGTAAAAGGAGAATGTAAAAGTGCACTTAATTTTAAAAGTTGAGGGGACTTCAAACCGTTTCTGAGGAGATTTGTATTTGTACTGTCTTTAATTCCACTTTTCCACGAACTTTTTGAAGTACCCTCGCATACAATTTTCAAAAAGGAGTTGTCTGTTTTAAAGCCTTTTAATAGACATATTGCCAAGTTGCCTTCCAGAAAGATTCTATCAGCTTATAATTCTACCTAAGCACACTCAGTAATAGCTTTATTTTTAAAAAGCTCTTACCAGTGTTGTTCACACCTTCCTAA